GCCGTAGGCCATTCGGGCAAGACCGATGCGAGCACGTTGTCCGCCAGACATGTTGAGCTGTCCAGAAAGCATGCGACAAGGGAATGAGATGTGCCAGAAAATCAGTGGTCAGAATATGTGACATCCGGGACCCCCTAGCAGAGCATTAACCTACCCCGCGGTCGCCAATCACGGTGTAGTCTGCGTGCTCCCATTGCGTCAGGTCCGTCTCGAGACAAGCAGCCTTCAGTACAGCGATATACCTACGAGGAACAGTGAATATGTTAGATTTCTTTTTTCTCTCTTTTCACATTTTCTATCCTTTCGAGACGTACTTTTCTTTTTCATAAGGTCGACCCATCAAGATGTTTTCACGGACAGAGCCCGTCAAGATCCAAGGCTGTGGGTATATTTGGCATGAGTAGCTCAGTCATAATTAGGAAGAACGTCTAAGTTGTCTAAGTTGGTATAGCTCCTTCCATTCTGCCTAAGTCTCTACTCGTACCTCTTGAGACGCATAGGCGATAGACCCATGACCAACGTCAATAATGTCAGACTCAAAGTGACCTAGCTCACCCAGCAGGGCCAGAAGAAGAGTACTCTTCCCTTTTGTAGCAAAGTTGGTTAAAGTGAGGTATCGGGCACACGACAGACAGGCCAGGGGAAAACAAAATCGACAGCACGATAAGCGAATTACAATGGTTCCCGTACCGCATCCTACAGGTCCAGCTAGACCCAGAATCTTGCCGGGCGGAGCCGCTAATGACACCTATGCACGCCGAAATAATGTCAAGGGAAAATGAACCTGGTCGCTTCCCATTGGGCAGACATCTATTAGCCACCCTACAAATCCCTTTTCTTGCCTCCTTCTCGCTTTTTTATCCTTACATTTCGCAAAGTCGAACGGCTCTTGCTATCAGATCCGCTCCAGTTGAAGGACAAGCCATTCACATGGACAGGGGTGGGGGGAGGAAGGGATGTAGACAGGGGGGGGGAAGGGCTCAGGGAGGAATCTGAGGACGGAGGCTTGGAGACCTGCACGAAGGATTTGAGGGATTACACACGTGTTTGGTATTCATAAGAGCATGATATCGAAAATAGATGAGCGATACCTCGAGGCGGTAGGAAGGAAGCTCAGGCATGCGCAGGAGATGCTCCAATCGTCCAAGCGAGACCCACACCTCCCCCAAGCTCTGCATGGCCTTGCCGCCAAAGTTGACCACGTCCCACTTAGAGTAAGAAGAAAGTAAGAAGAACAATAACATGTGAGACGGGAATATGAGATGCTGCTTGCGATTCATTTGCTTCGCTTTCTCCCCTACAAAGCTAGCTTTACCTGGAGAATATTGAACAAGGTAAGCGCGGAGAAGACTTGGCCAGCTTTTAACTGCCTACCCAGGCTCCAGTAGGTCAAGAAGGTAACGGCGCCGACAAGAACAGGGGAAAAGAAGGAGATTCCCTCGTGGATCCCTCTCAACAACCCGGCGGCGATGAGGACGCGCATCTCTACCGCGCGCGCCTAAAAATACAGACGAAAAAAGTTGAGCATTCACAAGCTCTGGGGTTGTGGGGCGACTTCACCTTACCTCCATGATCCGTTTCTCAAGCAACACCTCCCACCCGCTCATCTTGATCGTACGCGCGCCCTGGATGGCTTGCTTAGTCAGGCGTACCCGCTGGTCTGCGTGGCGGGAAAGAGGCAAGTCCTCATTCTTGAGCTCTTCGAAGCAGATAGAAGATACGAAACAAGGAAACACAAACCTGTGAGCTGGCTAGCGTGCTTACTAGCCTGCTGAAGAAGCTTGGCTATTTTGGCCTGGTAAAGATACAAGGAAAAGCAAGCTTTAAGTGGATTACCTTTATCAAGACACATAGTTTCTGTGATCCCTCTCTTCACGCTTGATCTTATCCTCAAGCTTCTCATCTTTCCTATACCTGCACGGGAATCAGCATCAGTAGCGCCGCTATGCCGATGAGAAAGGGGAATCCTGTTTGCTGCACACCACACCATGCAATGGCTGCGATCTCGAAGGGCGCCATGAAGAGGTAGTGGGAGGTAGTGGAGACGGGTTGGAAGCTAGAAGAAGGGGAGGAAAGAAAAAATAGATTAAGGCGGTGCTTAAAGCAATGAAACTTTTATCAGCGGGGGTTGCCTCATTTTCCTGAACACGTTTCTCTCCTGACATAAACTCACCGCTCAACATCTGTGGTCACCAGATTCAGAATTGTGGCCACCGTCATGGTCTTTTTGTAGGCATCGGCATCTTCTTCCCCCGGAGCTCTACATTCCACTGCGCCTTCTGACGAGAAAGCAGAGAGCGGCATGCGCAAAATCTTGCGAAATATGGCAGATTCTATAGATGTGCGCATGTCTAAACCAAGACGCCAGGCCATGAATTGAACCTGCAAAGTCGAAATATAACGAGGCAGAGAATAGGGACTAGAGATAAATATGCGAAGAATAAAATACAAGTAAAGTGACAAAAATCATACCTGGTGGTAGAGCATGAGTACAATGAAGCCCATAAGAGCTATCACACTGGCGTACACGACTCCCTGTCATAAAATAAAAAGAGGTCAAGCCACAACAGATTCCTGGGTAAGCTGAGCGTCGTATCAATCTCCCCTCACCTCCTTAAATCCTCTGCCGTAAATCAGCACATCGATGAGTCCCGTAATGCCCACATGCGCCTGCACTATCTTGGCGGCCGTCACAATGGCGAAAGGCACGTACAGGGGCAGCTGTATAGGAAAGTAGGCTTTGAAGGCGGCTCTCCAGAGTTGTGGATTCTTTGAGTGAAGCTCCTTCTCAGCGTCCCAGGAGGACTGATGGAATGGCAAAGGAAATGTGGATGGTGGTCCGTGAGCGGAGGTATGAGACGTGGGGAGGCGCCCTTCGAAAATATCGTCTGTGCTACCGCTTCCATTGATTATGAAGCGCTCTTGATTTCTCTCTTCGTACCTGAAGAACTCCCTTCAAGCTGACTGCTTTGTCTCTTTTCGTCAGCTCGGGCATGTCTTTTTCGGTAAGCATGCGGCGGTTTCCTTCATTGATCACTGGGTTCATCCAGCTAAGTACGAAACAGAAAACCAAAAAATACGACTGAGGGTAAGATTTTTTAAAGTCGATGACTCACTCGAGCTCCTACTTCCTTACCCGAAGGTCAGAATGCTGCACAAAGAAGCAGTCTCAAGGTATGCGGGAGGACGTGTCCCGTCATCACTATCTTCAATTGCAGGGTCCGATGTCTTGGGTTGCTCACCAATGCCGGTCGGATCCCCGTCCGCAGCCATCTTTTACAACCCTGCCCTGCTAGCCAGATAATTTGTCACGTATAGGGCCTATCTTGGATGGCGTCTGATGGCATCCAATTACGAGTTGAGACGACAAAAGAGGTCAACAATAAGACCTTGAAGTTGCCACGGTAATTTAGTCCCCACCACTCCTCAGACCTTTTGAGCTTGACAAGTTCAAACTCTGTCTCGCCTGTTGACAGATAGAAGGGATGAGAAGGCAGTCACACAGGCTGATCAAGCAGAAAACGGGACCTATAACACACATGAAGAGAAGAAGCCATTCCACCTGGTGTTTGTGCGATGCAACTATCGGACAGGAGGTCGACAGGAACTTGTTTGTTCTATACATATGGGCAACCTACGCCACAAATTAAATGCTTCCTTTCGCATTTGGAAAGGTGTACAGGCAGTAATCGAAAAAAAATTGCTGCAAATGTCTTGTTATTGGAGAGGAAGCGAGGGTAAGTTTGACGATCCGCGGAATTCACGTCAAACCTCGCTTAGCAGCATTTCAACGGCCAGGGCGAATGGGTGAATAACACGTAGAATGCACGCAAACTATACCCTCACAAGTGGCTACGCGACGCCAAGCGTGACCTCATTATATGCCCATCGCAGAAGCAATTGGCCTCTGGAGAAAAAGATTTTTTCCATCCCCAGAGCCCAAGGAAGTGCATCGGTGGTTTCCGGAATCGGTCGGGAAGAGTCTCTGTGTTAGTTCACGAGTTACTCGCATATCACCGAGTCTGTATGTATGTTGAGACACTGAATGCTCAGGCATGATGTACCACGTACTTCATCAGGGATATCACGCGCGCTACTCATTTGACGACACAATAGTGCCAAAACAACGTGGCGAGGTAGCAAATGTAGACAAGCCTGACTTTCAATGTCTAGGCATCATCAGCAATCGAAGGACAAAATAGAAAATGTCGGGAGATGTATGTGCTCACGACCACCTTAGTCCAGGTGAAGCGTCACCCGGGCTTTCGCAGATCGAAACTTATTTGGTACGCCAGTAGGCACAGGACACGCTCCTCACTCCTTCCCAAGTCGTAAGATACGCAAACATTAGAGCAATATATCCTTGCAAAAGTGTTCAGGTTGCGATGCTTTTCCTTTCCACTTTTCAACATTTTCTTGGCGGGGGGATGTATGCTAAGTCAGGTTTTGGCTCAGGTCGGGTAATATTTAAGCTGTAACTTAAAGGTCTATCCGTCAACTTTTTGTCGAAACATGTACGAGTACAAGTCGACCGTGACCCCATGTAGATAACCTAAGACTAACCTCCATATTGCCGTACACTTATCACGCAATGTACCTCTAGTAAGGTATTATGTACAAAATCTGACAAGCCCTTACATCTCACTGGAAAAACCCAATAAGCCGCCCACAGACTGCTCAGTGCTGCGCATTCGCAATACCCTACAGAAAAGCTGAAGGCTAGAGGCTGTCGTCCTTAGGCTCCTGTCCTCGGGTCCGTTTTTCCTCCCAGGCCGCACGCGCCATTTCTTTCAGCGAAGCCGCAGAGTCCGGACCCGTCTCCATCACCATCGACAGGAAGCCACCCTTGGACTCCGGCAGACCTGTGAAACAAAGAAGCACGTGAGGGATAGACAGATCACCGGAACACTCTTTCCCACCTCCCACATTCCAAATGTCCTTGATTCATATTGGTTGCCTTCTTTTCAACCCACCTTTTGGCGTGTTCAAGAGCTCGTGCGGATGCCCCATCTCCAGCACCTCACCGGCCTGCAGCACCAGAAGGATATCAGAGTCGATGATGGTGTTCAACCTGAATTGCACGTTTCGGGGATATACGTGGGTGTAAAAAAATATCGGCAATTTGTCACACTTCGTGCCCTATTTCTTCTGCCTTTAAAAGCTTTCATTAGAGAGCTTACCTGTGCGCAATCATCAGGACCGTTGCTGAGCCGAAACGCGAGCGGATGGCCCTTTGTATCTATGATGGGGAAGATTTCAGGAAAGGACGTATAACACTTACACGTAATTCATTTGCCTTCCGATTAAGATTACGCATATCGGTACCTTTTGATCCGTCTCCACGTCCACGTTGGCAGTGGCCTCGTCACAGACCAGGATGCGGGTCGAGCTGAGGATAGCCCTTGCCAGGCACAAAAGCTGTCGCTCTCCTAAAGAAAAGTTGCCTCCATTCTCGGTCACGTGCATATCCAGCCCTGGTCCGCCCAGGTCTACGGGGAGAAAGTCACGTTCCGAAAATAAGAATTTAGTCACCCTCAACTAATATTCCCGTATCGTCAGCTCTCAGAGATTGCAGGAATGTGTTAAATGAAAAGGAGATAATGCGCTCACGCGTCAATTCTACTCACCCATGCCTTTAAAGCCTTGCAGGGCGGAATCTGCGCGTGCATCGTGGGAGATAGCGAAGGACGCCACCCTACTCCTTCTAGAGCTGGGAGTCCCCTTGTGCTTTCCCCGCGGTGTTTCAAAGCTGCTGCCTATCATTCCAAAGTCCACGCCCATAACTTGTATCTATACACATGGAGAGAGGGGAAATCAGGTTAAGCTCACCATTTGGGAACCATACTACATTCATGAAACAGTACCTGGTCCTCCATTTGAACCGCCCGCAGCGCCGACCAAATCTTGGCATCATCATTCATCTAAATTTGTATAAAAGATATTGAATCTTTAGAAGGCTGAGAATCATTCAAGTTTTCTTCCAGTCACTTCTCACTTACCCCCAACGGATCCATGTTCTCCCGAAGGGTGCCACTGAATAAGAAGGGGTTCTGAGGTATGACAGAAAGGCGACGTCGCAGATCGTGAAGACCAAGTGTGGAGGTATCAATGCCATCAATGCATAAAGATCCGCCGGAGGGTTCCATCAGTCGAAAGAGGGCCTGAATATGAGATAAATCAGCCAAATAAATGAGGAAAAATAATGACTTGCTAAGCTTTGTCTCTACCCCGATGTTTTCGTCTAGTGTAAGTAGCAGCACTTTGTCTCATCTTACTTGAATTAGCGTCGATTTCCCACAGCCTGTTCGTCCCACGATGCCCACGCGAGTTCCTCCGGGAATGGAGAACGACATCCCTTTCAGAACGAGCGGGAGTCCCTACAATAGCAGATATGATAAATTTAGCAATATGTTCAGCAGAAGTCATCATGGAAAAGCTGGCGGGGTAGCAAAGTATTGTTAACGTGCACCAATCATTTTTCGACCCCTTCCACCCTGAATCTACTTTTAGTCCTCTATGTTTACCGGTCGGTATGACGCTTGGAGGTTCGTGGCTACGATGGCGCCTGTCTCAGGCCACGTCGATCGTGGCGCTCGCCCAGGGGTAGAGTCAAGCGCAGCTTCTGGGGGAAGCTGGCAATACTGAAAGGAGGGAGGAAGCCGGATACATATATATGTCCGAATGGAACTCTAAGTAAATTCTCAAAGCCACTTAAGACGCAGGAAGACACAGGCAAGAAATTGAGAGAAAAGAAAGTAAGGGGCTGGACGTACTTACCTCCATGATTCGCTCGACGGAGACAATTTGGTTCTCTACGTCTGAGCTCTGGCGTGTTGCCCATTGAAAAATAGCAGCGAGCTGCAACACGTACATAAGGGACATGCCCACCAGCCTGCATAAAAGATTAATTTAAAACGTTAGGAACCGCAAAGCTTTGTGTGCAAAAGCAGGAAAATGTGCACGAACCATTCCGAGACACCACTCATGCCTTTGACAGCAGACACGGTGGCTAAGGAGGAAAAGGTCGTTGCGGTCATCATTAGCCAGCACAAGGAATCCTGAAAAGAGGAAAGGGGAATCAATTGAGCTTGATAAGTCTCCTTCGCCTTCTAAATCCTGTTCCTTTCCCCTCTTTCCCCTCTTTCCCATCTCATTCCATCTTTCTAATCCATTCTTACGAGGCGGAATCCTAAATGCCTCCCCGCGGAAAAGAAGATGAAGTACGGTCTCGAAAAATTATCCAAACGACGGGAAAATTCGTCCTATGTGAAAAAAGGTTTATTAAAAAAGAAATAAAAGACCAGAGCAAAGGGGCGTAAAATGGAGGATGATGTGGAAGGTACCTGGAAAAGAGTGCCGGCAACGAGAGATCGGATTGTGGGCAAGCCGTCCATAGCTTCCGAGAAATAAGCGTACACGGGCGAGCGAGCCGTGGCTTCCAGACGACGAGCCTCACTGAATGGTGGGAGAGAATGTAAAAATCTCTCAAGGATAAAAGAAAGGATTCAGAACAAGCAAGAACTCACCGGGATGTGTTGAGGAACTGCCGCCGGAGAGGAATAAAGGTGGCGGCGAGTGGCACCAGGACAATCAAGAGCCTGTTCTCCGAAAGGGGCGAATACAAGATTGAGATTATCTCAATCCCTCCAGTCTTGCATCTCTTTTACATAGTGCCTCTTCTGCTCCATTTTTTGCTGAGACCATTCTTGCAATCCAATTCTATGCATCGGCGTACCTACCATGGGTTCACGGACACGACTACTCCAATAGTGCCAAGGCAAATGAGCATAGTTTGGACGAAAGAGAACATGGTCACAGGAAGCAAGACGTCGCACATCAGGACGTCCTATAGGAATTGAAAGAGATATGTTAAGAGATAAAGTGAGCACGAAGCAAAGTGCTGACGACTATCACGGACAGTAGGCGTACCTTAGTGGTACGGTTTATTATGCGCCCTGTCGGATTCGTATCAAAGAAGCTGTCGAAGATGTGTATGCGGGGCACGGATAAGCACCCTGGTCTCGAAGAAAAGTTACATTTCCGTATTTCACCTGATCGGAGCCCTCAGCACTGCATGGATCATGTCGTCATGCAACGACTGGCTGGCACGAAGCATTCGGTCGAATGAGACCATTGCCCGGGCCACCGAAAGAACGCCCACCGAGCCCACTGCGGTTATGAGGGGGCCAAAAATAAGAAATTCATTCCTACCACATAGAATGTGATTGCACCCGTATCGAACGTTATGGAATGGTTTTATGGCAAGTTCGACATATTTCAAGTCCCAATACAAGGCCTGGAACTCATGACTCATTTCTGACTCGCACCCCTTCTCAAGGCCTACCAAGAATGACGTAAATAGCAACAAAATGGAACTTTCTCTGCTTTTCGAACGGGAGACGGACCCAGTACGACAGGAAAAGGTTGCTCAAAATGGCTGCCACCTGAAGGAAGATGGAGTGTTAGCTTTCTTCTGCAAGTACCCATTTGAAAAGTGTCCTTGCTGCGCACTCGTCTTGTTATCCTTGATATTCTAACTTACCTGTCCAGCGGCAATGAGCGTCAATACAGCAATGCCCACACTTACACCGCCCATGCCCTTCATGTAGGCGCCGTATGTTCCAGCCCCAAGTTGTCCTGCCTTTTGACCCTCTCGAGCGATTATGGAATCCTAAAAATAGTGATAAGCGTGAGAAGACTAGTCTTCAATGGCCTACAATGTTGAATCAATCGGAGACAGGCTTCAGCTCATCAATCATATCGCTTGAACAAGGCGGGTACGTACCCTCTCAGCCGCTTCTCTCTTGCTCTGCTCCTCCTCTACGTTGTGTGCTTCCTCTTCCGTTCCATCTTTTCCATTCCCCTCTCCATCAACACTCTCTGACTCTTTGTTGCCTTCCTGGTCGCCAGCGGTCACCGCAAGGGCAGATTCGGCTGCCGTCGAAGCTATCACCGGTCCCAGCAGACGCTCCCCGTCATTGTCCTCTTCCTCATCCTATGTAACATAGGCAGCTTGGTAAGCATATCTTTTTGCGGGTATGTGTGGCTCTAGCCAAATTGATTTCATGTATCTTCCGTACCTCGCTCGATTCTTCTTCCTCTTCCTTGATACTGAGCACCTGCGAAAGCAACCTGTCCCGGCTGTCTCCACTCGTTCGTAGGTTGCTGGGAGAAGAGGGTCGCGCGTGCTGGTGGTGAAAATTAAATTCATCCTTTCCGGACTCGCTCGCGTCCGAGTCCTCATCGCTCCTGTCGTGAGCATGGAAAAGGACCAGCATTCAAGGAATCGTCAACACGTTAAATGGATATTATTTTGGGCGATCCTGCTCATGAGTAAGAAGATCTAACGGATGAGATCCCGCCACAGTCGTGTCGCCCTCTTTCTTACAGGATGTCTTGCATGCCCCCATCTTGCGAGAACTCCAGGTTGGGCATCACCACTTTTAAGGCGGACGTGGTCCTGCGCGTGCGAGTCACACTAGTGTCAGAGAGAAGTGCCTGCGACTGAATGCTCGCACCGCGCTTTTTAGAGCCCTGCAAGAAAGTGAGCGGGAAAGAAAAATACCCATGAATCGTTGCAGTGAGCTAAATTTTGCCAAGAGGGAGAGCACACCTATTAGAAATTCAGATATATTAGGTTCAGGGTTATGGATGTGAGTAAGCCCGTACCATCTCTACTGCGGTATCGCGCGAGCTAGAACGACCGCGAGACGAATCGCTTTGATCAGAACCGGAGCGATGCGGGGTGCGAAGACTGAGGATTCCCTGAAAGATGCGCCCGGTGAGGCTTGTGGGCTTTGTCGAAAGCAATACTGGTCCTGCAGGTGATCGTGGGAAAGTAGCGGAATTTAATTACGAACATAAGACCGCACAATGATTCAGGACGCATGTGTTATCTCCTCACCGTCATTCGCCTCAACAACTCCGGGAGAGTCGCGATCGCTGGTGTCACCGTCATTCGCACTGAAAGTGCTCATGGTCCGGGTGGGCAAGAAGGGAGGGAGGTTACGCGGACCCTTGCTCTTCTTTACGACCGCCACGGAGGTGGGGCTTTCCACCTGCTCACAATACAAGCACATGGAGGAGAATGGTTGGAAGAATGGAAGAAAATAAAAATGATTACTTAGCAAATTTTTGGACAAACCCGAGGCGATTTCCTCAGTCCAACATAAACGCTGCATTCTCGTACCGTTTCCTCTTCCTCCTTTCTCTTCACCAATCCCGAGACGCTTCTATCCCGATGGTCATCGTCCCCATGGCGAGGTGAGAGCCCCACATCCAGGTTGGCATCCGGGAAAAAACCCTGAGCCTGAAGGGTTCAAGAAAGACAGGAGCAAAGTTAAAAAAGTGTGAGAGGAGCATAAACTATGTGTGACTTACCAGGAGCTCCTGCATGGTGCCTTGTCCACGAACTTTCCCTCGGTTGATGAACAGAACCT